GAACAAAATACGAAAAAAGAAATAAAAGATCTAAACTATCATATAAATCTAAATCACGAGACAATTAAAAATATTGAGTCGAAGCAACATTATGACATGGCTTGAAGAGCAAAATGCTATGGCTAATAAGGAATGAGAAAGCGATCTGGAAAAACCAGTCTTTGGAGAAATGGGACAAACTGAATCGATGCTCGATGGACCTAACACGGATAAGGTAATAACAAAAGATAAGAAACAAATGGTGGACTGCAGCACGCAGACGGTTGACGAGCGTAATTTTCATAGCTTGAGCTCCGGACTCACCTATAAACAATTGGAGGAAATTAAAAATAGAGTATGGGATTCTTCGGTTTTTACTAATACGGAGATCAAAGAGGGAAATCCTTTGAACACAAAGGATACTTGTCCGAAAATTTTACTTTTAGGACCGGATGAAACTGGATTAGATAAGGGATTACATAAAGCGTTTGTACAATACTTTCCTGATCTGCAGGACATAGTTGAAGACGTTGGTGTGTTAGAGTCGACATGCGTGGTTAAATCGTCAGGAGTCAGAAAGAAAAGAAAAATATTAAAAGTTATATTGACAGGTACACAGGAGGACTTATTTGAAAAGATGAGAGCCATTAAAAAGGAAACGACAGGAGATGAATTTATTGCAATGCACGAGACAAACTTTTGTAAAGTGGAAGAACTGAGGAAAATAATAGAGACCGTATTCCACGGATCTAACTCGATAGTAGTTTTATATGTTAAAAACACGAAAACCCTAGGGGAATCCAATAAAAGAGAGAAGAAAAGTTTTGCCTTCATAGTACAGAAAGAAAACCAGGATTATAAAGAAATCCTAAAGGAAGTCAAAGATACTCTAATGAAAAAAAATGCAGAAAACGATATTGAAAGCTTCAGAAGCACAAAAGACGGTGCCTTATTAATAACGACCAAGAAAGATCCTACAATCGCAGAGAAAATATGCGGAGCATTGAACGGGCTGAATAAGCTAGGAAATAGTATAAAGTTTAAGCAATTAGGAATAGAAACTAACAAGGAATCTTTCTTCATTAGAGGAATAGATACAGACACGGACAAGAATCAGATCATGAGAGACCTGGAAAAAGTATTCGTCGGATTAACACAAGAAAACACTTCTCTTGGTGAACTCAGACCATTGTCGAACGATACACAGACGGTCACATTAACGTGCTCAGACGAAAAAATAATTAAAGAGTTATCCGCAAGGACAAGGGTTAAAATCGGCTGGGTGTACTGTCGCTTGGAACCGAGACTGAAAGTTATAAAATGTTTTAGGTGTTGAGGTTATGACCATGAA